TTAAACTGGCCGTCTACTTGATCAGCTTCTTCTACTACATATACGGGTAATTATAATTGATTTCTGGGTGGCCGGGTCCTCGTTTGTCTAACGTTTCTCGCTAATTTTAGCATGGTTTATTCGCTCATCTCGACATAGAGGGCATTGAGGCAGCTGCCTGGGGATCTCATTGTTGGCGCCAGTGCATCCGCATCGTGTATTAGTTGTCATAACTCGGGAAGAGACTCCCTTTTTACGGGAGGCTCTCCATCAACCGCGAACAATACTTCACTTGTAAATTCTAGTGTAAATCCATACAAACATCTTACAGCTTTGTTTTTTTATAATATTTAATCTATTGTGTGCAGTAAGAGATTGTAACGTGTTTTTATTTTGATTTTTGCATTTCGCATACTTGGTGTAGTTGGATTTTAAGCATTAAATAAAAATCAAATCGAAGTAACCAATTTTCATTTTTCCTGTTTAGCTTGAGGGATAGCGGAGTCTTTGACTGAACACGAGGAACGTGGAGCAAAACTTTAGATAATAAAGATTGCGAAAGGTGCTTAACCTTATCAGCAGGGCCAACATAGATATAGCCCCAGTATTTAAAATTGTTGGGTGCTAATGATTAGCAAGCACTTTTCATGTTCATAATTTGTTAGTCAGCATCAATAAAAAAATTCATTCACATACATATACGATGTAAACAGTTTCCTCATTTAAATAACAAATATGGTACCGCATTGATTTATATATCTAGATTTAATGGATTTCCATTGTATGATTGATGATGAAACAAATACCTTAGACTACTGTGAAAGTATAAACCATTAAAAACATAAAACACTTGTAATATTACTCATATACATATGTTGCTGCTCATTCAAAGTCACCCTCTAGTTCCCCAAATAAATCCCCTTTGCTTTCATACGTATTTATAACTTTATTTTACAATCGTTCCGGGAGGCCACAGCTTGGAATAAACAATATTGTGATTAAATCTTGATTAAATTAAAATGCTGTATACATGGGTAGGTACATGGGGCGTTTAATGGGCAACTGGCGTTTGATTACGACATAAAAACAACGAAGAACAGGAAGAAGAATATAAGAACGCCGAATATCTTGATCATCAACCAGCGGTTCTTGGAGACGGACTGAAAATATTTCAGGATCTCGCCATGGGCCGCCTCAATATTTAATTCCGCATCCGCCACATTCGTGTCAATACGCTCCACGATCTCTTCCTGCTCCTTGACCATATGTGCCAGCTGCTGGAATATGCCACCCAACTCAACGATGGTAGATTCTATGTTTTGCATAGTTTCCGCCCGCTGCTGGACGTAATTATCCGAGTCATCGTAGATTGCCATCTGTGTCTGGGTTGACAGCAGTGGTGTTGTATCGCTGCTTCCCATGTCTATGCTCACTGCTTGGTTTTCCTCGCTGAGGAGCAGCGACCCCTGCTTAGCCGTCGACGGCGAGACGGTGTGGGCAGCCAATGGACCTGGTCCCTGGCTAAACTGATCACGACGCGTCTTCTGCTGTTTGAGGTTCTCTGTGCGCACCTCCAAAATCTGCTTGAAGTCCGTGCTCATGCTGGCCAGCTTGGATTGCAGGGCCAGTACCATGTTGGAGGAATGTGACACCAAGTGTTTGCCGTTCGTGTGACGCCGCTGGTCCTTGGAGATGTCCTGCAGTCGGGCGATCTGTTGGTTCAACGCGTTAAGGTCGCCTTTGATGATGTAGGTCAGCTCCTGGATCTCTTGCGGTCTGTCGTCGAATAGACTCTTCTTTTTGGCCACTGAAATTAACAGTATTATAAAGATTATAAGATTATTTATTTTTGAAAACATTTGAGGAACATCTATAATTTAAGGACATAAAACCAACAGAAATCTTATTAAGGGAGGGATCCACAGAAATGTAATTGTAATTTTAGGTGTCTAAAAGTATGGAGTAAATAAAGGATATAGTACTCTAACTAAATGATTTCATTGTACTTTTCAGCTTAAAATACTTTGTAGCATCCTTTTAGACACCCGGTGACTTCTGTGTCACCAATATCATCACCAATATTAGGCAATATTTTTTCAATTTGAATGTGTAACATTAATCGGTTTCCTGAGAAACCACATACTTACACATGGTGAGCTTCTCTAGCTTGGCGTAGGTGCTGGCTATGTTCTTGCCGATGAACCTGGCCACCATCATGAACTCCGAATAGCTCTGCACCTGCTTGGCTTTGCGGGGATCGCGGATGTTGACTGCCCTGGTGATGTTGCGTGCCTGCAGCGATCGAATCGCGTTGGCGAACTCGCCCGTCCGATCGCGGGCAGCCATGACGAAGATCTCCGGCTCGGGTTCCGATTCCTGGTGCTCCTCCCTCGGTTGGTAAAACTGCGAACTGGTCGGAATGGAAGCTTGGTAGCTGTAGCTGCTTTGGCTATTGTCGTTAGTGCCCGGTTGATTGCCGGTGACCACGGCGGCAGCGGCAGTCAAGGTGCGCAGTGCCTGGCCAGAGAAGGCTCGAAGGTTCCACTGGCGAGCCGCCTTGCCGTACTTGTCGTCGGAGTAGTCGACTGCTGCAAGGGATTGCCCCGACTGGTTGGCGTCTCCAATCTGGATGGCCGCCTCGTGAGCAGACGGTGGTTGAACCAGGGACTGTGCTAAGAGTCCTACCGATCCGCCAGCTGCTCCCGTTCCCCCAGATCCTGCGCCTGCTCCTCCCTGCTGATCCTCTTGAATGGTATAGGTACTGCTGCTGTAATCCTGCTGGTCCGTTTGATGAAGGCGTCTTCGGGTTTGCATCTCATTTCAGATTGCAGCTTGTCCCGGGGAGTTGACGTTGCCGTTTTCTCATATGCACACAAAAACGATCTGATCTGTTGGACTTTCCTGCGATTGGCGAAATTTTCCCCCTTTGTTTTCCTTTTTAAAGCACTGTTTCTTTCGTTCGTTTTCCCGCTCGGCACTTAGTTGGCAGTCCTGTGTGTCCTAGACAAAATATAATTTTGGTTTTGTTTAAGCATTTTTCCTGGGTTTTGCCTAAAATTCATAATAATTGTTGAAGATTGCAGAAAACTCACTCACACGCACCAACACACACACTCATTTCACACACACGAGCACACCTCACAGATGACAGATGACGATGACGTGTTGATATCTAAGCAACTATCGATAGGCGGCTGTTCGGTTTTCCCGTCAGATTTAGCTATTTTGAGAACTATAACAAACAATTAAAACTATGTTTTAGCTCAACGACTTATATTTTTATATGTTTACTATTCTCCAAATATTTTTACAGTTAGGAAAAATCTTTTATTTAAAGTAGGTACTGTTACCTATGTTATGTTGTTATGTTGAGCCAATAGTAATAAACCATTGAATTTGATATATGAAAACCAACACATAAAATTTCACACAATAAAAACTGGAATGTCCTTATTTAATTTTTTTGTTCGAGAATAACTAACTTATTTTGTCGCCACTTAAGCTTTTATTTTATTTGATTTTAACCCTAAAAACAGATATGAGCCACGACAACACTGACATGCACATATCGATAACCAACGGCGAGCAACGCTAGTTTTTTTCTTTTCAACTTTTAATTCTTCTCTTAATTAAGCCAACCAAAATAGCCATAGTTTATCAAAGAAAATGACACTGTATCACTTTGGAAATTGCGTGGCCCTGCTGACGCCGTACTACTTCACCTACAAATACTCCGGCCTGTGAGTTTCCCGCTGTTTATCCTCTGCAAACTGCCAGGTCCGCCAGGTCAATGAAAACATTGATGAATTGTCCCGGTTTTTATGTTTTTCACAGATCAGAATATGGAGCCTTTTGGAAGTGCGTGCAGGCCGGCGGTATTTACATATTCACACAGCTCGTCAAGATGCTCGTGCTGGCCACATTCTTCTACTCGGACGCACCTTCCTCCAGCGGCGAGTTCAACTTCTTCGCGGTGCGTGTGCTTATCATTATTTACCTTTGTCCAATTGCTGAGGTTAAGATGTCTGCTTTCTGGTTTTAGGAGATCTTCAGGTGCAGCGTGGACATCGCCGATCTGCTAGGGTTCGCTCTTATCCTGAGTCGCATTCCCGGCAAGGGACACTCCAAACTTATTACCGCTGGACTTGGATGTAGGTTGAACCAAATAATTTAATTAACCGATGATGAGGGTAGTTTTAAATGTTTTACTTTTGTATCCCATTATCTTATACCATACTATTAGATCCTCAGCTAGCATAGTTCAGAGTTCCTCTCTTTGTCGTCATTTTTTCAAATTGTGTTACTTACTCTCAAGTTTTCGGTTCCTTAAGAACTTCACTCAACCGATACTAATGGTATTTTACCTTTGATCAAATATTGAATAATGGATTTAGCCAATCAACATTTGTTTTATCTTTTTACTTACATTGCCTTAGAAATATTTTCTCAAGGTTTTCTACCCCTGAAACCCAAGATCACTTAAAACTAAAGATATACTACTTTTTTGCAGGGGCCACAGCCGAGGTGATTCTCTCTCGAGGCATTATGCTGTGGGTGGGAGCCCGAGGAACCGAGTTTAGCTGGATCTACATACTCAAGTGTCTGGAGTCGAATGTGCTCCTGGTGCAGCACATAACCACGGCCACTCTGATCTGGCTGTTCACCCGTCACGATCTGAACAAGGCGCTGAAACCGCTGGTTAGCCTGTTGCTGGCGGTGACTGTCTTCAAAGGCGTCTGGCTGGAGGGCATGCTCCACATCCTGACCCTTGGACCCTGGCTGACGGTGGCTGTGAAAGCGTTAGTGGCTGCCATAATTGGATTCTGCACGCTGCACATCTACTCGGGTCTGGCCCAGCAGATCGGCATTTAAATGATTGTGCCACACTCTTTGTGTCCTTTTTGTTTTGTAATTTGTTTATTTTTGATGTTGTCACAGAGAGAATGAGATTTTGTAACGAAGACAACAATTACGGTTTAGAGAATTACCCCAAATGTTAATGAATTATAGCTACGATAACGTAATAGTAACAAAAATATTTACACGAGTTTTAATGAGTACAGTGAAACTGGACAGTATTTCATCGACAAGGAAAAGATAAACGATTTGACTTGGGCATCCTTGCCCGATTTAACAATAACAAGATGGTAATGAATAGTTTAAGACCGCTTCTTAAAGGATTGCCACTTTTGCTCATTTTAGCTTATACTCATAACGATAACAGAATGCTACATTTTGAAGGCACTATTGACTGAACTAACAACTACAAAATTGTGGCGATAGCCATGAAAACCATAGTTTAAAGTCTTGTAGACTCTTTAAAAAATGTTTAGAAAGTCTCGCCTTGCGTAAGATTTTCTATGAGCTTTGCGGACTCTTTGCCCAGAGTAATTTGGTCCATTTCAAGGGAGTTAGCTCGCTTTGAAATCTCTATGAACCTGCCGCGGATTAGATCTGAAATTAAATTTCTGTGTTATTTCGTATTAAAATTGATAATTATAGATAATTTTAGCTTACACAACAAATGAAGAAAAGCTAGCGAAGCCTTGATGCGATCAACAAAAGATTTGATGAAATCATTGGCATTGATTCCAGTGATTTCTGGACTATTACGCCAAATGTTTAAAAGATCCATCATTACGCTATAAGTATCTGTGGAAAATTAAAATTTTTAGTTATATATACATGTAAATTGTATGAGTTAATCTCACCAAAACTATTACTCTGACATAATATACTGTGTTCGTAGAAATTGTTATTATTGATTGGTAGATCGTTACCAATTACGTTGCTAGGTGGCTCAGGAGTTAGTAAGATGTCTTCCATTTCGAGGGGAATAGGTTGATTTATATATGCGTCTATATTTCTTGAACTTATCTTGTCAGCTAGCTGAGCAAAGATTTCCTTGGAAAGCGTCTCTGTAAATTCGCTGCCAAATATGGTTCTCAATGTATTTTCAGACTCGTCTTGCATTTGATCTTCACTTGAGTTAATGCCGATGTAATTATTAATAGCTGAACAAAATAAACTAAAAAGAAAAATTAAATTTAAGAGTTAAAATAGGCAAGCCGAATTAATGTATCCTTGCAGCTCAAACTGTGCATATTATGACTACACTCACGTATATGTTACTGAAATCGCATATTCAAACGATTTGAAAGTAAATATACCGATAGTTCCTATTACAGATTTTTTGTCAGAAATGTACAAACAAAATTGGAAACTCAGAAATCTTAAAATGTACTGTTGTTGCTCCAGAGTAGAAGAGCATATGATTAAAATCAAAGCTATAATTTAGTTTAGATTATTTTATCTTTAATTTTTAAAACGTTCCAATGGCAGCTGTATGATATAGTCGACTTATTATAAAATCATTTTATTAAAAATACTAGAATCGGTAAATAGGATGTACCCAAAGTAGAAGAGAATATGATCAAAAACAACGATGTAGTATACAGTTGTCTTGTCTGCCTAGTTTGCTTAGAAACAGACAGACGGACGAACAGGCAGACGCGGGTAGATTGATTCGTCTAGTGAAATGTCGAAAATGTCTCCAATACTGCTTTAAAAACGTCTGACTGAAACCACAATACGCTCTGCAAGGGTATCAAAATTGTTATTCAAGAATGACTTACTTGTTATTCAGTTTACATAAAAGTTCGTTCGGTGTTTTTAGTTGTTTGGATGGCTTTTTTACAATAACCTCTCTAGACGAATAATCATTCATATATTTAAGTCTTTGCTTTGCCAGTTGTTCTCTAGTGTATTCAATACGCTTGTCTACTATCAGTTTTCTTTTGCGAGGATTTTTGGGCTTGCTGTACGTGATTTCTTCAAAATTCTCCAAAACATACTGGACCGATGGTTCGCAGCATATTTGAGATATGTCGGCTGGCTCAATGTTATGCGGAAAGATTTGGGTCATAATAGCATTGTCAGCTTGGAAAACGTCCATTTCATCCAATCTCGGCATTTTATCTGGTAAAATGTCAGTTGAATCTTGGGTTTCTGAGCGCCGCTTTACTATAAATAAAGAAAAATTAGATGAAATAACTTTTTAACTGGAGGATCGCTTACAGGTTCTCGTTTGATCGCCTTTGGGAAAAAGTTCTTGGAAAATGGTTAAATCCAAGTCTTCTCCGTCGCCAAAACCATCAGATGGCATAATATGGCTCTGATCTTCGTGAATTTGAATTTCTTCAGTAATGGTAATGGCATGATATGAGTTCGATTGTGTACAGCTTCTGGGTGGTTCAATGGACTTTTGGTATACAAATTAAGTATATTAAGAAGGAAAGTGTTTAAGATTTTAATTGGCGGCCCACCTCGTCTAACTCCTCTTCCACCTGTTGTGTGTACTCTGATTGCCACAAACGACATTCTGATAGTATATTTTCGTAATACTCCTGAGTGGATTTGTTCAGAAGCTCCGACTCCTGCAATCTGGGACGTTTGGAGACGGTGACCTTTGATTTCTTGGTAATCACGCGCTTCCGTTTGCGTTGGGTTCCAATCCCTGATTCCTTAACCATTACAGATTTCGTGGTTGTAAGAACCAAATCCATGTTGGTACGTTTCATTTGCTCCATCAAAAGCATGGTATCCCCTAGGAGCATGATGAATTAAATATGTGTAAGCGGTTCCCTAATATTCAAACTAACGCCTACCTAAAAGTATGTCCACCTGGCATCTATAAATATTGGTTGCGCCGTATGCCAAGCGCGAAAGATCCTTGAAACTAACATTTCGCTTCTTCCTTGTTGCCAATAGATCTGATCGGCGGCCTCTAAATGAGTTTTCTTCTATTAAATTAGTGATTTGCTTGCTTAAAAGTTTAAAATTTAGTTGGGAAATTGAAATGATTAGCTAAGTACAGCTTTATTTACCAACAAGCGACAATATCCACAGCGGCGATCTCATTCCGATCGAATTGTGCAAAGGCCGATGAATGGGACTTGCGGCATCGGCCTCCCACTTTCCAACACGAATCGAGGATGTTTCCCTCAAACAAATCTAAGTCCAGCTTAGGTATCGCCATATTACCTACTACATTAAACACTTAAACTGTACCCAAAAAGGGTATTTAAAAAGATATTGCCAAAAAAGGTGAACTTTTAAAATGGCGGCGTAGTACGCGTAGCCTTCAGCTAACGGTACTTTCTATTTGGCAGCCCTAAAGAGACTAGAGGTGACAGAAATGATCAAAATATCGTATCGGTATTTTAAAATCCAAACATTGACGTTCAAGAATAATCAAAATTAAAGTTCTTTTAAAATTATGAATAAAAAGTTTCCAACATTTTAAGAAACCAATATGAATAAACCTGTGTGTGATAAAATACAAAATATTTATTTAATTATTCTATACGATTGTTATATGGAACAATCGCCTCGTAAAACTACGCGATATTTTTGGTTAACTCGTGATAATTTTTGGCGTTCAGTGAACGGTCGCACTGCAGGAAAGACAACAAAAAAACCAAAAATAAAAGGACAGGAAAAATACGTTGAACATTTACTAAAAGAAAAGTGATACATAATCCTAACGACAACTGCCAAAGAATACGCAGGCCCCTTCCCAGATTCCCCAGAATACTAAAGAACTAAGACTATGGTAAGAGATTTAAGACATGTCGAAAAACAATCAATTACCAAATTGAAAACATGACTAATATAGGAGAGTGGGCGTGTTTTTGTTTGTGTTTTTCGATCGCCGATTGTTGTTCCCAGATAACTTTGGTGATTCCAGTTCATAAATCAATTAAATCGGTATTTGCAGGGTGATAACAATATATGCGATATTAGCAACGAAGTTCTGGAGGAACTGAAGAAGTTTCGATTCAGCAAGAGCAAAAATAATGCCGCTTTGATATGTAAGTAATTATTGCCATGGAAACACAGGTTCTATAACCTCGGGTTCAATTAAAACATTCCAGTGAAAGTTGACCGGGAGAAGCAGTCTGTGGTACTGGATGAGTTTATCGACGATATTTCAGTTGACGAACTGCAGGAAACACTGCCAGGACACCAGCCCCGATATGTGATCTATACTTATAAGATGGTGCACGACGATCAGCGCGTTTCCTACCCGATGTGCTTTATCTTTTACACACCTAGGGATAGTCAGGTGAGCGAATTTACTTCGATATTTTGTTTTAAATATTTTAAAAATTATTATTCTTAAATTTAAAATGTCAGTAAACACATAACAACCACTTCTAAAAATATTTTGAATTAAGAACTTTTATTTGTTTCCTTCAATTTTAGATCGAACTGCAGATGATGTACGCCTGCACAAAGAGCGCCCTTCAGCGCCAAGTGGATCTCACACGCGTCTACGAAATTCGCGAGCTGGACGAACTCACCGAGGAGTGGCTGAAAGCCAAGCTCAAGTAGAGAGGTTTCTACCTTCTCTGGGATAACCATTCCGGGCCGTTGTCAAAAGCAATATTTTATGATTGTTCTTCGATTTATTTTGGAGCTTTTTATAGACATATTCAAACTGGATCAAGCCGATACCAACGATGCATACCAATACCAAACAAACCAATATTGAGATACGACAATTTTTACCTACAGAAAACACAAATCAAGCTAAGTTTATACAACGTAATGACAATTTTATATAGACGATAGCATGCGACAAGTATGCGGGAGAAGTTCTTAGTGATTTTAGTTTTGCATTTAAGTAATAATCTTAAAAGAAGCTGTGCTTGCCAAATTTCTACATGTATTTATTGTAAAGATGTTGAAGCAAACATGACAAGAATATTCCATTTTATATAGACAAACTAAATAAAAGTGTTCAATATTAAAAAATCGTTGTTGATCAGAACTGTTTGTAAAAAACCTCTGACCAAAATAGCAATACCTCGTTCAAGGTACAAACTATTATTATATTATCAAACTAAACTAGCTTAGGTTTTAAAGTACTTCTTTTGTATATCATCTTAATTCTGTAATACTTTAGTAATGCAATCTCTGAGCCGCCGTGTGGTGCAGCATCGTGTAGCGTCCTTCGCTCGGCGTGGGCGGTGGAGGAGGCGGAGGAGCCAACATATGGGCCATGGCAGCCATTCCCATTTGGGTGGCCGGATTTGGTGGTCCCAGATGATGCAGGGCATCGTGATGGTAGTGATGTGACATGGGTGGCGCAGGTGGAAGTGGCAAGTTAAGCAGATTATTGTTGACCGCATGTGTGCGGAAATGCAAACTAAGACTGTCCGCCGTATCGAAAGCCTTGTCGCAGTCCGGGCACTTAAAGTGTGCGTGATCCAGGGTGTCCAGACCCACGGGATCCGTGTCTATGGGCTCGTCATCATCATCGTCAACTATCTCATGACTCGTACTAGACTCCAAAGGATGGAGCTTCAGTTTATGAGATCGCATATCTCTCCGCCTGCTGAAAGCCTTGCCGCAAACATCGCAATGGTGGTTTTTAATACCAGTATGGGTTATCATATGCTTGGAGAGATCGCCGGCTGTGTAGAAGGCCTTTGGACAGAGCGAGCATATCTGATCCCGCACTCCCAAGTGAATCTTTTGATGCGCTTGAAAGTTGCCCAATGCGGAGAACTGTTTGGAGCATATCTCACACTGAAATGGCTTGTCGCCCGTGTGAGTCCGTTCATGGACTTTTAAGTTGTACTTTTGGGCAAATCTCTGGATGCAAAAGCTGCATTGATAGGGTTTCTCTCCCGTATGAGTTCTTATGTGCTGCGTCAGTTGGGCGATGCACTTAAAACTCTTGTGGCATTCGTAGCAGGTGTGAGGCATCTTTGGCACCGGTTTGGGACCCCGTTTCTTGTGCTCCTCCGGCGGCTTCCTTTGGTACCGGGATCGCCTCTTGCTTCCTTTGGTTTCCACCGGCTCCTCCTCGTCGCTGTCGCGCTGCGGAAGCGATGGCTTCTCCACAAAGTCTGTGTTGGTTGCCGCATCCTGGCGCCAGGACTCCAAGATGCCCAAGTATTGGCGGAGCCGCAGATCGTTGTTCTCGCATTCCTGTTTGAAATGGAAAGCTACTCCCAGCCGGTAAATGCAATTGTTGCAGATGACCGAAGGCAAGCCATCGGTTTTAAGCACCTACAATATTTGAATATATTATTTCTTATTTTTAAGTTGCTCATTTAAAACCCACTCTAATTTTGGCACACTGCATCAACATCACTGAGGGCATCATGGCAAAGTCTGTGCTATAAATCGATGTCACCGGATGTAGCTCCTCCAGGCAAACACGACATATTTTGTGAATATTATAATCCATCTTTTTACTAAGCAATTTAACAGAAATAAACAATCAGTGTTCGAGTTTTTTATCAACAGCTGATTGTGACCAGGGCTGCAAGAGAACAGTCAACTCACCATTGCGATGAACTGTTTTGGATGTTATTTATTGAATTTAATTAATATTTAATTGCCTTAAAATTAAATAGGCTTAAGTATCATGTATGCATATGTTTTAACAAGTTGGTATTGTGACGAATTGTTATTTTGATGTTCATTGTAGCCGATGTGCCCTGTCCGACCTGTCCCTTAGATATCGATAAATATTTATAGATTTCGAAACGGGCTTTTATTAATTCAACTAAATTGCACATATATTAAGTAACTCATTAAAGCCATATTTAAATTTGCATTACATAATTTCTTGACTACTTTAATTTAAAAAAATTAAATTGAAACCGCAACTATAACCAGGGCTGCACAAATGCAGACGTGCTGCCACCCCTGGCGAAACGGTGTGACCTTCTTCCGTTTTTGCGCTGACGTGACGTGACAGTTGATTTGTTTGATTAAAATAAATAAGAGAAAAATCACAGATAAACTGATTTGTGACGGAACCAAATTATACCGGAATCGGTAGCCGGAAAAGAAGACTGAGTGCGCAAAAGAGAAGAGTATAATCCAGGAAGATCGGTCGGCGGAGCGGACTAGGGAAAGAGAGAGAGCGAGTGAAATTTCGTGGTTTCGGGACCCCCTCGACCGCAGCCCCCCACAATATATCCGTTACCCACTGGCAAGATGCTGTGTATACAATATTAGCGATTATCGAAAGCAGGCAGCGCATGTGCCGGCATCCGAAAAACACTATTTAATATCTAAGCTTTTGTAAACAAATTGTGGAGCGGAGACCAAGGTCAAACAAGCCGACGAATACGAATACCTGGTGAATAGGTTTCGTTTCGTTTCGCCCCAAAGTGCCAGTAGTCCCGTGCAACTTGCAATGGCCACAACAAGCCAGCTGTTGCCCAATGGCAATCTGTCCAGGAATGGCAAGACCAAAAGGGAGGATGAGGAGGAGGAGGTGGAAGTGGGATCTGGAACTAGTGCAGGTGCTGGAAGGGATACACTAACGGGATTAACAGGACTAACAGGACACCCATCCACATCCACATCCGGCACCTTTATGAAACTGAAAACCTATCTCCTAGCTCTTCGTCCCTGGTCGCTGTCCGCCAGTCTGGTGCCCACGCTCCTCGGCTCGGCGCTGGCCCACCGCTCCCAGTGGGCGGCGGAGTTCTCGCTGGCCACCTTCTTCCTCACCGCCTTCACCGTGGTCACCGTCCACTGCGCCGGGAACGTGGTGAACACCTACTTCGACTTCATCAAGGGAATCGACAAGCAGAAGGCCGATGACCGCACGCTGGTGGACCACATACTCACCAAGGATGAGGTGAGCCAATCGATTGGATCAGTTAATAGTGACCAGGTCTTGCACTAAAATGTATCTTAGTAGATATAGGGTCCCAGAAATCCTGTGCTTTCTGCAGCAGTGTGATATTACTTGTATATTGTACAATTTACAATACAAAGTATTATAAGTTGAAAGTATTTCAAAATCAACAGTTTGAATTTTATTGAAATTCCTAAAATATAAAGTAATAATAGATTTACAATTATTTTTTAATTAGCCTCAAATATTTCGTAGTCTCACACAAACTAAATTATTCGCATATATTTATCGATTTGCCTAAATCACACGTTCAAGAATTCTCCATTTGCATGTACTTTATTAACAAAACGATTTACTTAATCACCTCGCATGCGGAGAGGCTAAAAGGTATAAACTATGAAGTAGGTTTTTCAAATAATTCTTCATCATTAATGCAAAACGTGATTTCTCAAATCACAGCTAAAGAACTAAGATATTGGCATGGTGGTGCATAAGTTAGGAAATTTCTAAAATAATTTCTTTGTGGATTCTTGGATCTTCATTTATAAAAAGTAAACACTTAAAAAGTGAGGCAATCAAAGTATATTTTTTTTGTATTGAAATGAATTTTACTATAAATTAAATTCTTTAGAACTGCGCTGAGAAAGATCGTGTTGAGGTCATAAAACATTTTGTGAAGACAGTTGATACTAAATATCACATTCTTTAGGCAATTAGCAAAGTACTAATTTAAGTCAAGGGCAGAAATATAAGTCTTGAGATTTTAAACCATTATATGTGGAGTTTGAAAACGAATAACAAGAACAATGTAATATAATATGAAGGGTTATTTCCAATTTATATTTCTTAAAATCGGTCTCTTTGGATTTTATATACGTCTAGAGTATAGGAACTGGGCATTCAGAAGTTAAATGTCTGGCAATTAAATTATTTCGATCGTTTAACACAACATTTTTGTTATTTTTCAGGTGGTCTCGCTGGGCGCAATACTGTACATGGCCGGCTGCGGGGGTTTCGTTTTGCTGGCTGTGCTCAGTCCCGCCAAAATGGAACACCTTGCGCTGATCTACTTCGGTGGATTGTCTTCCAGTTTTCTGTACACAGGAGGCATTGGTTTCAAATACATCGCCCTGGGAGATCTGGTGATACTGATACTCTTTGGACCCATCTCAGTGCTTTTTGCCTTCATGTCACAAACAGGTCACGTGGACTGGACGACTATGGGCTATGCGATTCCACTGGCCCTCAATACGGAGGCCATCCTGCACAGCAATAATACCAGAGATGCGGACAACGATCGCCGGGCTGGAATCGTAACCCTGGCAATTTTAATAGGACGCACTGCCTCCCATGTTTTGTACGCAATGCTGCTCTTCGCACCCTACTCGCTGTTCTTCATCTTCGGTTTAAAGTACTCCCTCTGGTTTCTGCTACCATTGGTGACCCTGCCACAAGCCTTCCAGATAGAGAAACGTTTCCGCAACGAGCAGACGATGCACTTGGTGCCACGGCAAACAGCAAAGCTGAACTTCTTCTTTGGCATCTTGTACATCGTGGCCTGCTGTTGTGCCCAGCAGTTGCCCACTTTTGGATTCCGGAAACATTGATAGACGGGGAGAAGTTACGGATCTGGCAGAAAACAACCAGAGATAAACTGGTGCAATGTTTTAGGGAATTTTATTAGGTTTTAGTCAATGTGTGTAATGAGGAGGGAGTACGAAGCTGTGTCAGTTTCCCACAGTTTGATGTTGCGCAAATTTCGAATGGCTGCTAGTCGCCCGTTAGAGTCTAAACTTTTGAACTGAACATATCCTAGCCCAAGTGGGTCGATTTATTTCACAGAAAATCTAGGGAAAAATATATGGCATTGTGCAATAGAGATTACAGGCCTAATATCAGCTTAAAAAGTTTACAACGTCAAATCCAAAGATAATCCAGAAACAATATTTAAGAATAAATGGTCTGGCATTTTTCCAGATTAGCCGATTTATAAAGCTATCAAGTCTAAAAGAAACTTAACATTGAACATATTTTTTTGTATTGACATATTAATTTTTAGAAAATTATTTTTATTTTTGAGCGCATTAAACAAGAAGTTTGGTATTAGACCTTTAGTTTCTCTGTCAAAAGTTATTTAAATTGTCCAAAGATTTGTTCACTACCTACAATATCGACCCTTACCTATCCCACTCGTTTATATTTATTTCACATCGTCACAACCTTAATCAATCAACTACCACTCAATGTAATAAATAATCATACTCTTCCTCTCGCGCGTTGGGAATTACGGACCAAGAAAGTTATGTGCAACAGTAACCAGTAATGCTAATGCAGCCCCAAATTTTCAACACGTTCATAAGGGTGCAGATACTTAAGTTTCGCGAATCAAAATGCAGATTTACTTTACAAATAGAAGTGCTTGGAAATGCAGCTTAGTTGAAAGTTTTTTGGCAATTGGCTGGCTTGCTTTTTGTGTAACGAATGTTAGAGTTTTTACATATATTATATACACGAACACGAGCATATATTTATATACACATCTAGATCATGTAAGCCCAGTGTCTAGCGGCAGGCTCAGAGTGAGAAAATATCAAAGGAAAAATGAAGAAAAACCTATGTAAAACGAAAACAACACAAAGTTAAATTTTTAAATAACTATATACGTAGATGTCGAGGCGAAGGAGCAAACATTGTTTTCCATTAACAATAGCGTATGCATATAAACAAATAGCTTTAAATAACAAACAGAAGACGATAAAGCCAAAACCCATTCGCATTATAATTCATTGTGTAACTGAACATTTGTGTGGCAATATTTATTTGTACGCTAGTTTTTTGTATATTCATTCATTCTTTTGTATACCGCATAGATAAATGCTTCTGTTGGAATTGCTCAGCAGCCGAGTTGAATTGACCTAAGTGAAAACTTTGTAAACTACAATTCAACAACAAATGAACAATAATAATTATAATGATATTGATAATTAAATGTTTAATTAGAGAATGTAAACATGATTTGTATAATATACACTGATATATATTTTATTGAATGTGAAGAAAGTGAGAGGGGTTTCGAGGATAAATAGGTACTCAATCGCGCAACGCATTAAAACAGTGGAGATCTGCTTTACAAATTAAAAAGCAAGGTGTTTTATATATTTTTTTTTAATCCAAACGGAAAGCATATATATATATATTCTTGTCTTTGTACACCTTAATCCATGACGAGGTAAGTATAAATCAAATTGAAACGTACAAGAAAAAATAATGTAATCCTATTATTGCTCCCTAGTTACCAACATGATGTCGTATGGCTTTACGGCAGCAGTGGCTCCTTCGAGTGGAATCTCCTCCGGCACCTGACCAGGAATGGCCACCATTTTAAAGTTCTGCAGCACTGTGGTTGTGAACATAAACAGATTCTGCCTCCCCAACAAATCGCCCATGCAGCGATGACGACCAAATCCGAAGGGATTGAAGGCTTCGGGTAGCTTCAAATGACCTTCGAACAGAAATCTCTCGGGATCAAATGCCTCCGGATCGGGAAAGTCCACTGGGTTCATCAGCATTCCCCTGAAACAAGCCACTACCATGGTGTCCTTGGGAATTTCATAGCCCGACAATCGAGTATCGCAGACTGCTCGATGCGGTATGCCAAAAGTGTGCACCATAAACATCCTGACTGCTTCCAATGTGATGGCCTCGCAATAAGGCAGCTTGGAGCGATCCCTGGACCACTCAGGTATGCGCTCCAGGCCCACCACCTCCTTAATTTCCTGGAAGGCCCGTTCCTGAATTTCCGGCTGCAGCACCAAGTGCATGAAACAGAAACCCAGACTCTTGTTGGTCGTCTCCGAACCAGCCAAAAACATATCCAAGCAAATGGCCAGCAGGCTCTCATCACTGAACATTCCCTTTTCATCATTTCCCTCCTCCCGGGCACGGAGATAAGAGTCCATCAGATCCCTGGGCTCATCGTAGTTCTTGTAGGTCAAGCGATGCAGCTCGATCTCCTTGCTCATAAAGGAATACAAGGAACGATGACTTTCCACGAATCCATTGTAGCCAGAGTAGTCTGGAGCTATGAATCGAAGAAGCGGGAAGTGACTGAAGAGAGCACCCACCATATCGATGTTCTTGAAAAGCTCAAAAAAGGTCTCCAGTAGCTCCGTGATCTCCGGAGATCCTGGTTCGTATCTCCTACCACTCAGCATGCACCAGAGGGTATTCAAGACATAAACACCCGTCAGATCGTGCATTTCAATCCGCGCCTGCTTGCCTCCAGACTTCGCCACTTGATCCTTAAGATCCTGCAGCAAACAGGTGGCCTCATTGTGGACAATATCCATCATGCCACTTCTGGCAAATCCGAAATTCTTCAAGTGTCTCAGGATAAACCTACGCTGCTCTACCCACATTTCGCCATCGGTTAAAAGCACTCCCAATCGGGAATTGAAGGTCCTCAGGCGATAAAATATGCCATCTGGTCGGCCATCAATGTCCTCATTTGTCATCATTTCGCTAATCGCGTCGTTTGTATAGGCTATGACCACCTTATCCTTGCCAATCTTTAGGCCAAAGAAGCCATAGGGGTTCACGTATTGCTTGGCGAATACATCGATCACTTTGCAAAACATCCCAAGACGACATCGCAGCTGGGAAACCTGGAGGGCACTTCCTACTATCGGATACCAACGAGGTCCTGGCGGAAAACGCCTCGGTTTTCGCACTCCTCCAAACAAGATGGCCAAGAGAGTGGCGCAAAAAATCCAGATGACAGCATAAAACATGTTTTTGCCTTTGCTTTCACTTTTCCCAATTACGCAATATTGGCTTGCTTTTGAGCTCGAGTTTGGAGTGGCTATGTTGTCCTCAGTTTCCTGGTGATCCAGTCCAGAGTTCGATCCCGCACCTGACGTTCACCCAAATCGACTGAATCCGCTCGGTTAGTTGGGTCTTTCTTTTATAGACGTCGTGCAAAAAAAGCTTTTCCTCTTGTTTGATTTTTCTTTTGGCCATTAAAGTTTTCGAAAGAGTTGGGAGTTTGGGAAATGGAAGTCGGAAGGTAACTGAGTTGGAATTTCGGTATGTTCTATGCTACCAGCTTAGAAAATTATAAGAGAATTTCGCTATTGATCTTGAACTTTTATAATACTGATGTAATTGTAGTAATCAAGTGTTTTCAGATTAGTTTAGAATATAAATTCTAACTAAAAACTTCGGACATTTTAAGTAAAATAAGTGAAATCATTGAGTTTAACATATTGTTTTTTCGAAATCGAGTGTCTTTAGAATTGTAATTATTTTTTTAAGCGTCGAGTTCTTTATGAAATTTTAGTATTGAATTAAATTTATGCTATTAAATAAATATCTAAATATATTTGTTTAAATATTTCATTAAATAGAAAATTTTGTCTTTTTCAATGCCAACATTTTGTAAGTTCCAAGCAAGGTAAGTTTTATATCTCTTTTTTGAGAATTCCCAAAGGCATTATTATGCAACAACCTTAACTCGAACCATTTCCTTCCAGCCTCAAAGACCCAAATCTTCACCCGTCTGACCCACTGCCTTGTGGATAGTTCAACCACATTTTCCTCGGCGTTTAATCGCCGCTAACCAGAGACTTTAATGGTCATGGACAACGCCAAATCCACTGGATCACAGCCAAAGTCAAGGAAAACTTGTTGCGTTAAGAAAACCGCGAAAACGCAAATAGAAAAAACCCGTTTGCTCCAAATGAAAGGGAAAACAAATGGAGATGTTGGGAAAGAGGCAAAGCAGGAGGAGGAGCTGACTGGACAACTCGTCTGGATGAGGCTATTATGTCATCGGCATCGCCATCGCCATCGCCATTGCGGAAAGCGGTGGGATGGACTTTGTTTTGATGATAACTCCGCTGGTTCCGGTTTGGTTTGGGATTTTGCCGTTTCATGCGATCAAAGTGGAGCTAACATCGATTTTTGGCATCCAATTGGGGCTTTAACATGGGGCCACACTCGCGGATCGCCCATTTGAAGGCTGGCACCCGAGCTGCAAAGACGTGACAGGACAACAGTTTAGTCCAAAAAATGGGTTTCAGGTGAGCATATCCATAGGATAAACTGACAAAGAGCTCAACCCAAAAAAAAGTTGAATTTCTGTATTTGAAATAGAGTGAGGTTTTTAGTACCCTAAGTATCGGTTTCAAATTTTCTTGCATTTTAAGTTAGAGAATTTCCATAAATGCTAATATAGTTTCATGTTAAACCCGTTTGTAATCTTTAGAATCGTGCTATTAGCTGCCACCGGCCTGGGAGCCATGTACATGATGCATCTTTTGGCCCAGGATTGGGTTAAGATCCGACCCATCCGGGGAATAACCCAACTTGCCGGGATGGCCGCCCAACCAATTCAGCAGGTTATTGCTCCCATCCAACAAGCCAGTGGAGCTCTGAATCTATTTCGAAGTAGAAGAGAGGCGAATTTGAATCATGAACTTGGTTGGGTGCGAAGGACTCAGGATTCGGGAGGAGGAAGTGGAAAGGTTGGTGCTGCAGGAGGAGTGGTTCATAGACCGCATCCCGCCATCGATTGGAAAAGGATCCTGTCAAGGGATCCCTTCGAGTGCCTTCAGTCCCTGATCTGTCAGCTTATGTCCGGAGCTGAAGCGAAAGTTCCGGAGGCTGAGCTGCTCATGGATTATCTGGAATCATCGGTGGAGATGGCTCCGGTTAAGATAGGCCGGGCCTTCAGTCGGGGATTGGCACTGAGGGGTTCCCCGGAGCTCTGCTTTACCGAGTATCCCTTTTGCCTTTACTCCGCCAAAACGATGCTGCGCATCCTGCGGTGGTTCAGTGAAACGGGGGAAGTACCCATGGAGGAAGTGGCTTAGTTGTATAAGTTTGGCTTCAATAAATATAAGGAGAGTGAAATGAGGAAGTAAAAAGTTAGTTTCGTTTTCGGTAAAGGTGTTAATGCGTTTGAAATAAACATTTTTGGCGTTTGCATTTCCGATTTTATGGAAAATAAAATGGAAATTAATTTTCCCAAAACGCTGTCGCGTTTTTGTTAGTATAAGTATAAAAAATGTAAATTATGAATATAATATAATAGGTTATAGTTTGTCCATCGCTGACACTAAATTCCAAGAACCAATTGGTTGTTTAATGTGTTTTATGTTTACTCAAAATTTCAATTAACATAAAATGTTATAAAAAAATCTAGACGAACTCAAAGGAAAGCGTTAACAAACAGGGCAATATGGATTCTTTAGTTATTGGGTCGCAGAACCTCTTCCGTAGATTCTGCGTACGTCGGTATGATAGGCCCGGCGCCTGCAGATGGGGCAACGATGGAACCTTCTAATGGCCGTGTGTATGCAGTTTCTGCCAAACAAATGCCCACACCGCAGGGCAACTAGGTGATGACCATTCTCGGCTGTCCAGGGCGACAGGCAAATCGAACAGGTGGAGTCTTCGGCGAGCCTGTCTAGTCGATGACTTATTGTGCGCAGTTCTGTGAGGAGGCGGTGCTCGCCGAAGAACGAGGGCTGCTGTGAGCGGGACCACCGGATAATCTCGTGGTGCAACTGGTCAAAAATGCGACGACGTTGAGTGCTGAGCTGCATCATCTGCGAGTGTTGCTCCTTTAGCTTGCGTACTTGCTCTTCCGGACTGTCAATAGACTCCTCCGTCGGCTCCTGCTCCAAACGCTCTAACTCCTCCTCATGTTTCTCCAGTTGTTCCAGCAATTCAAAGACTTGCTCCGCTGACGACATTTTGTGTTATAATAGTGGGCAGTGACAGTTTGAATACTCAAACTGTTATGATCATTGAAACAAAGTTTCTTGTAATTTACAAATTTTTTCTTTGGGAATAATCCCAATAAAAAAGTACGTCGGTTATAGAAAAAGTTTATTAATAACAATAAATTTTCCTTTGTAGTTACCATCAGTATGCAAAAATATTCATATACATTATATATTACAAATTATTAATTATATTAAAACGGAATGAAGTAAAGACTGGAGAGCGATTTAGCTTCTGCTTTATATTTGAGAATTGGGTTTTGTTGCGATAAATAACAAATGAGCGAGCGATAGTTTAGTTAATAATAAGCTTTCAAAGCCCACAGCATTAACGAAAATAAGTTAAGATAATATTTTTGATTTGTTCAACATATTTTGTACATAAGATAGAGTAGTGGTAGAGAGCTTCTGTTGCGACTTCAAGTTGTGCACGCTTCGGGGAGATTCTCGCTTTCATTTGAGCATAAAAATAATAATTTTTAAATAGAATTAGATCAGAAATAAATTCCATAATAGTGAAGCGCATTAGGCCAGCGGCGGAATCTTGCCACTGAGTGTGACACTCGTAACATCCTTGACAATCATCTCGGCCACCTGCCAGGCGATCTCCTCTTGCACATTATCCTCTGGCAGATTCACAAGCTTTCGCATTGCATTTTTGATTTTGTTCCCGCTGACACTTAGTGACCATGGTTGCGATTTGATAGCCACTGCATCCACAGCCTCAAAGTCCCGCTCATAACGTCCCAGGGAGTTAACAAACCCGAATTTAAGTGCTCCCACAGGACGCTGCCAAAGAAGCTGGGGGTTCGTCAACTGCCTGGCATCGATGTTGAGGTTTCCAGACTGATGATTAATCGATGTTTTTGATGGCATCTGATCCATGGAAGCCAGCAAAGTATTGTGCTGCGAAATGTGTGTGCAGTCTGACATGGATAGTGTTTTTCTATGGCGCTGCTGGGCACTCGTAGTTTTTCCAGGTCTTCGCAGGCTTAGTTTTTGTTGAAGATTCGCGTGAGGAGTAGAGTTATCTATAAAAAATTACCTTAAGTTAACACAATTTTGTACACACGTTTAAATTCCAAGACAAACCTCGTTTAACCTTAAGTTCGTTTACATAGTTGTCAAAAATATGCGACTTCAAAAAGTCAGCAAAGTACTTTTGCTCTAGATACTTGGCCGTAACTAAGAGGGCCAAATCGAAAGCTTGCCACTGTTCACCTGGAGCACAGATGGCTTGCTCCACCCGCAAGCGCAGCTTCTGGGACATCCAGAGACGACACTCGGATTGCAGGGAGAAGTATTTGTCGTATATGATCATGGCATCGCTCTGGGCCGCCTTGCTATCCTCCTCCTTCTCTTCGCCAGACGCAAAACTCTTGCGAAAGTTTATGCCCGTGATCCAGAACTCCAGACATTCCCGCTCTTGCCGCTGTTCCAGGTACTCGGTGAAGTAAAATAAAGCCAGTTCGCTGTTCAAAACGTCGTAAATATTAATCGAACCGCCTTCGATCAGCTCCAAACAGTAGGTTGAATAATAGCCACTCTGCAGAAATCCCTGCACATGATCCCGCTCCAATTGCTCCAGCACAAACTCCATGCCTTCATCAAAGCAGCTGGCTGGAATTGGTTTACTACACTCTGATTTATCTCTCCCGCAAAGGAGAAGAGATATGTGCGCTAGTATGACGATGGGAAGGTCCACCTGCAAGCTTGCGTTCACTATCAGATACTTTTGGTAAATGGCAATGGCATCACTGATGCTGGCCCGGGAAAGTTCGGAATTCGTTCCAGACTTCTGTCTATTGATCTGCTTGTTGGTCTCCGCATAAATGCGGCTCTTCTCGTCGTCCGTGAGGGGTTTCCGCATGGACAGATCGCATAGCGTCTTCAGTTCAGGTACATCTTTGTCATCTTTGTGCGGAGAAGACGGTTCCGCCTTCCTAGGAGGCTCCTCCGGTTCATCTCTCTCCTGTGAGAGCGCCGCCCGCTTAAAGTTCTTGATGTCCAAGTAAAATTTAATCAGGGGCAGGGCCTGTCGGGTGTCCAGATACTGCACAAAAAAGCTTAGGCAGTTGGGATCGTTGACAATGGAAGTCAGGTTCATGGAAAGGCGAGAGTTGTAGGTGAAAATGTCTGGGGAAAAAAGAGAATTATAATGTTATAATGTTTTCTTCCATTTGAGTTGTTTTAACTTTCGGTTTTTTGTTTTATAATATTGTGTTTTCCATTCACATAATCAAATGTTCACTCTTAACAGCAAACAAAAACATTTTTGTTCATAAAGTATCGTAAATTGTGAATCACGAATTCGTTGAGCCTTTTACGAAAATTTAATTATAGAGATAGTATGAGTAATTCTTAGGAACTATAAGACATTTTTTAAGAATGCCAACAAAGGATGTATAGAAATATATTCCTTGGCATATGACATAAATATCCTTGATACTTTATATGCACCAGGAACAGATTCCTATTCCCTCTATTCACCACTTAGCTTTCTTTTTAGCCCTTAAACACTCTTGCAATACATGTAAGTTAGGATAACATGTTGTAGTATCTGATTTTGAAATGTTACTCAAGTGATTTGCCAATCTTAGTGGGATTCCCACCCTGAACAGAACGTGATGAGCAATTGAACAATGAACGGTGAGGTAATTACCATCGTTGCTGGAGAGACTGATACCATCGGAGAGGGCACCCACTCCTCCGCCGGGTCCCACGACCCCCTCTCCGCCCTCCTCCTCCGCCTCTAGGAACACCTCGTCGCAGAAACTGGTTGTCGAGCGCAGGGAGTGGCGCTTGTGGGCCATAACTCCATCGGTGGTGTCCACATCATCGGCTGTTTGCCCACAATTGGCATCCGTGGCATCTTGGCTGCTGCGACGGCGGCCTAAATAAAAGAAAACAAAGTTATTGGTGTCAACAAAAAGGGCGAAGAAGAGTTGGTGGGCGGGGGAGTTGGGTGAAAACAGCAGCGGAAATCGTTGAAAATTGTGCACTCACTGGCTTGCCTCTTGATGTAATTTAACATATTTACATTCTCCGGCTTTGGGTGATTTTGTGAAGTGCTTCTTGTGCTTTAATTTGGCGATTTGCTTAAGTAATTGATGAACTAATTTAATGCGATGCGACGGTAAATATTATGAAAATTGCTGTGGCGATAGGGTATTTTTGGCAGTAGTAGGTTGGAATACCTTTGCCAGCAGGTCACACTGATTTATTAACAGTTAACTGTTAACTTAACAGATTCTGCCAACGAATTACTGTAACGGTTTTTTAAATATTAAATGTTGGTAAATGATTATATAATTCTCTTGGAATGATTGACCCCTTTTTAGAAATAACCTGACAAAATTTTTTAGAACTGGCAGTTTATTATTTTATTTTTTTACAATTAGAGTCAAGCGTAACTAAGGTCTTTTTTTCCAAATTTGCTAATTGTTTTATACATTGTCGTCAAGAGTAGAACGGCGTTATTTTTGACGTTAAAAATTAAAAATCTAAGTAGACCTTTAAAAAAACGAGAGCATAACGGCCTCTGGATATAATTAGGGTATTCCCTAAACTGTTGTATCGCTGAATTGTGTGAGTTTGCTCAGCCGCTAACACCTGCTCTATACAAACTCCATTTTCAGAATTTTCAGCAATTTAACAAACTCGTATCTGTTGAATTGCTAGTTGCTTATTTAATTTATAAGCCAAGGCAACTCTAACATTTTAGTTTCTTGAAAACTGGTCACATCTGTTTGAAAATTCAACGCTAAGCATTTTGGGTCGTTCCCTCGATTGCTCCAATTTGGTTTGTTGAAAATTCAACAGTTTAGAAAATACCGAAAGAATTTGTCGACTGCACTGTAAAACTTAACCAATCTCTATTTTTTTGCCTAATAGCCTCTAGACAAAGCTACTTAATATTGTTTCAAAGCGGATTTAGTTTTTTGAAATTAAAATGGGTTTCATTGCTAGCATGTAAAATGTTTGTCTTGGCTAAAAATTTCTTTATTGATATTAGCTTATGAGTCAAGAATAAGAGTTCCATAAAGTGAGAATTTTACAGAAACTATTGTGGGCCAACAGTGACACCATAAGAATTCAGTCTGAATAGACTATTAGGTGTTTTTTAACATGAAAATGTGCCAAAAATACCACAAAAATACTTTTTGTCCATGCTAAAAATAATAATAATAATAATAATAATAATCTAGTTTACAAAAACACTTCGTTCAATGGTAGTATTCAAAACACATTTAAAAGGCATGAGGCACTTAAAGGTGTCCGTCTTGGAAGACCAGACGGGTATGACACTTTGAGTATAAGCTCATTATAGAGACAGTTTCGGCTGGAAAATAATATATATGTTAATATTATTTATGATAATTAACTACAATTTAAAGTTAATTGTCCTTTAAGTTTAAATCTAATTTTTTAATTTTAACGTTTAAGTTTATAACACAAGCGGCCTGTTCTGACTCTCTTTTATGGATATTTTGTTTTGAATTCGATTAAACTAGTCGAAAGAGAAAATCGGTTCAGCTAATATATATTTATATTTTTCAATTATTTATTATACTTATTAATTATTTATTTTTGTTGGCAGCTGTGTTGTAAAGAATTGCGAGGGCCATGGACCTGATCATGGCCACTCCGGTTAAGCAAGGAAAGCAAATTTAAAATTACAACATGTATCTATTAATGTTCGTGTGTGCAAGAGGCACTTTAAGCCCGAGTGCCTAACGGGCTCTAGCCTTAGGAAAACCAGTATACCAACTGAAGAACTAGGATATGAGCCCGTTGATTCACTCCCCGATTTCTTTTGGCTATCAAAGCCCATTATGTGTTCCATGCAGAAAAGTAAGGGAATGGACACGGCTATAGGAGATGTAAAAGTAGTTGAATTGGACTCTCCTTTCTTTATACAGCAGAATTTTAATTTGGCTTGGTTAAAATGACTTGGTAAGCCAAAGTAAATTCCACTTTTAGCAACATTCTGGGTATAGGAGCAGTGCCAAAGTTGCTGGTATTATTATGGTGATATT